CAAAGTCGTTGATTTGCCGAAAAGTTTTATTATTACAGGAAATGCAATAATAACAAACACATATAAGCCACTGGTCCATATGGAGGCACTGGCAATGTCCGTAATTGTTAATAATTGTGCAAAAATGTCCTTAAATGTCTAGGACTATCACTGTCCTTAGACCTTCCTGCATTGGCAAGGAATGATAAAAAAAAGAAATGTAGGAAAACAATTGTGAGAAACCTCGGGAAGAGCCACATTGAGAGAGGGATCCACACGCACAGATGGACAGACTGTAGATCTATGACACTGGGAGAACATGCAAACTCAACACAGAAAGGTCCTTTCTGGTAGTATCGAACCCAGGACCTTCTTGCTCTGAAGCACAAGCCCTCATTAATACCCAGTTAGCACGGTAAGCTCTTTTTTCAGTAATACAGACATAGTACATAATTGAACAGATCATCATTTGCCGCAGGGAGTACCACCTTTGTGACATATGTACCTTTTTTATTTATTTATTAAAACGTATTATTATAGTTTACATTGGACGGGACCGTGACGCAGTGGTTAGCGCTTGAGCCTCACAGCAAGAAGGCCCTGGGTTCGATTCCACCTCCAGACCTTTCGTGTGGAGTTTGCATGTTCTCCCCGTGTCTGCGTAGGTTTCCTCTGGGTGCTCCGGTAATAAGTACAATAGGTCTGGCATGCACCTTCTGTACGGCAACCCTACTCCCATCTCCCACAATTGTAAAGCGCTTTGTGACTCTGGTCAGTGATAGGCGCTATATAATTAAAGATTACTATTGCATTTAGAGCAAGAGCTCAGACATATTACTCAGTGTAAAAAGCCGTAAGCAGCACTGTTCAGTCATCTGTCATAACCAGACTCTATGAGCTCATACACGTCCAATCTCAAACTTCCACTTATTCTTACTGATTGTACAAACACAACTGACGTCTACTACTGAACACACAGGCTGTCATTGCTGTAATAAAACTTTGATTATTCAAAAGAAGCATTAAACATTAAAGAATCAAAACTTGTCTATAGCTATAAGCCAATTCTTTTGATTGGCATTAGGTTGGAATGCCACTTCTTTCCTCTGGGGACCCACGCCTGCCTTGAAAAGCCCGCGTCTCCATGCTCCCATGCAGTGTAAATTATAGGATAATGGGGTGCAGGCAATAGCAGGCACTGTTTATTCAATCCATTTCTTCACACAAGTTCCCATTGGTTTTTTCCTGCTTTTCTCCTCTGAGTGTGTGGTGGTCCTCTGATCCGGCTGACCCTCACCATGTGTTTTCACTTTGGGCTCTGATCTCAACTCTATGACCAGCAGGGACCCAATACAAATTGAACAGTAACCATTCACAGGCCGCTCTCTTTCTCGTTGCTCCGATAAACCTTCTTTGTCTTTCCCTCACCAGCTTCTCACATTGTTCCATTCACAAAACGTTGTGAGGAACTACACTACAACCTTTACAAACCAGTTTAGAGCAGGGAAAACTATGTGTGAAGGCCAGTAACAGCAGAAGATCTGAATAGTTAATATCATATGTGGTCATTGTGAATGAGGGAAGAACAAATCACCAGTGTTTGGGTGGTGAGAATTGTATTATTTCAGTGGAGGTGAAGTTTTCATTCGAGCAGTAGATCCCTTTCTTCCCGTTTTGAAGCAAGCTTTTTCAGTGAAACTCAGTAGACAGCAGCCGAGTTGAGTGGCAGGGTTTGTTTGTTCAGCTTTTATTGGAAGACGTGGTCTGAAAAAGTTAAAAGGAAGCCTTTTGTTGTTTTAGGGGTTCATATTTTCTCTGGAGTTCTTCCATGCACAGTGTTTGTTCCCCCAACTGAAAATAAAAAGGGCAACGAGCTTGAATGCAATAACTCACGTAAAGTAAAGACAAACTGTGGCGGATAATCTCTCAGATACAATTAAATAAAGTGTGGATTCCTGTTATATTCAGCAAAGCCTGGTCGGGTCTGAGCCTGTGATCCGGGGCTAGCCTAATGTTATCCTCCGCACTTACAGCCACTTTGCTCACATTTCTGATCTGAGAACGATACGTGCAGTGATAGCATCTGCTCACAGGAAACACATTAGAAAAGCTTCACTCATACACAGTTGTGCAATTATCATATTACTATTGTATGTCATGCCCGAGCAGCACTTAATTATGTCATATTCATGTTTACAGTTATTTTGCTCCATATAAGACTCATATCACCACCTTTGTTGCATTACAGTCCCACAAATGCATGGCTAAAGCAGCTTTTATACCTCGTAAACTTGGCTTCATTTACTTCAACTGGTTTTCACTGAAGCCAGTTTGCACGGTTTACGTATGTTTACTTTATTAACCCAGGGGGTTACTCTGCTTACAGACGGAGGGCTTTAGGTTTCAACATCTTTAACTGAAGCATTATTCTGTCACGGCTGCAAGAGAAAACTGGGCTAACACTACAATGGAAAGAAAACTGTTAGAATCTAAATAAGCACTAAATCACTTATCAAATTACAAAAGGCATGAATCCAAAAATGTATAAATCAGAGGCAGTTTTCAATCAGATTCAGATTCAGTTGTTTTTCCATTTGCAGTAAAACCGTGCAAACTCTCTCTGAATACAAACAGCAGACATAAAACAATTTAAAGCACACTAAAGTCGAACACAGAGACTCTGTGCAGCCTCTGCTCGTTGGTCGTTTGGTCAACTAAAAATATCCTCCACAATACAGTCGCTGCAGTTCCCATGGTCCACATTGTGTCTCCTCCAGCTGCAGGAGCTGACATGGGTGGTCCGCCACACATGGGCCACACTTTTGTGGTCTGCAGCCTACATCTGATAGCAGTGGCAGTGGAGCGCTGCTCACATCCACAGCCCAATAATGTGATCACTTTGTCTCACACAGAGTCTAATAGAAACGCAGCCGTAATCACCAGACTGCGTTACACTTAATTTTTATACTGAAGATCATGACCGCATAAGCCCCGCTCTTCCCCTACGCAGAGAACCGCCCAGGTTCATAAGGCACTTAGATTAAGTACATTAAAGTAGACCTTTCCCCAAGTCCATAAATACCACAGTTTATTGCCCTTCATGATGGTGATATAATCTGAAACTCTGCAGTATAATTGGTGCAATAATCATCAATACTGAGGTTTGAGTGTGGTCCTAATACTCATCTCTGCCAAGTCCTAGTGTTTAATAATGGCACCGTACGTATATTGCCCCCTCCATGACTTATACTGCAGTCAAATTTATTAAAAACAACTGCTACATTTGCACATAAAGGGGGATGTCATTGTGAATAGTAAGTAATCAACCTTCTATGTTATATTATGGATTTTCTTGTGTAATAGAAAATCAATATAATGTAAGTTAGAGTTAAAGATGGGGGTTAAATAGCATCTGGTTTGACTTGTGACTTCGACTTCAATGTTGGTATATGTTACACAAATACACTTACGGTATGTATATATATATGTAAGTACTGTATGTGTCCAGAGCGGCAGGTGAGCATGCTTCTGTCCAATCCAGGAGCTAAGCAGTGCAGGGCCTGGTTAATACTCTAATGGGAGACTTCAGGGAACACAGGTGCCACAGTGGGGAGGCTGCAGTTGTAAAGTGCCAAACTGCTGCTGTGTCCTCAGGCAAGACACTTCATCCACATTAATTAAAAGTTTGGTTGGAGAGAGAATGATGCTGATGACTCAACATTATGTATGTTTCTGAGTGTCCAGAAAGTAATAAGACCAATGCATTATTTATATAGATGTGCATATACACAGTGTAAAGGTTTGCATACATCTGACTTTGTAGAAACACATATTTCAGACAAATTAGCTCAGACAAATTAGCTCAGAATATTGTGGCGTTAAGCAAACACATTTTTGTGAAAAACAAAAACACAAGAGCTAAATGAAATGTCTATTTATGTCTATTCCGCTTTCCACTATTTGTATATGGATATGTATGTGTATGTATATTTGTTATTCAATGTTGTGTTTAAAAAAATCTTTATTATCACAATTTTTCTTGTCTGAAAACATTCGATATTGTACGATACTAAAAAGCCAGTGAACATGGGCTGGAGCTGTTTGAGCTGCACAGATAAGTCATGTACCAAAAAAAGCCTTCTTTCAAGTTTGTCGTTGCCGTGTTTGATTTCAAAGAGGAGAAAACGAAACCTAAAACTTGGGAAAAGCTGACAAAACATAGCAGTCCCAGGTGTTTAATGGGCTAGGAGAAATGACCAGTTGACCAGCATCATACGTGACCTCCGTTCTGATGTGCCCTCTCCATCTGCAAGATATTACACCTAGAACTCATCTGTTTGTGCAGCGCCTGTTAGAGATGGGTGGTCTGAGGAAACACACTGGGACCCATTGTCAGACGCTGTCCATCTGAAGACTGGCCCACAGTCAGGATACCAGTGCTACCTGACTGAAATAGGCCTCAGGCAATTCAACATGTTTGACTTTATGATGAATAACAGAAAATCATGCTGTACCAAATGACCAACAATCATAGTTTGGTTGTATTCTCAATCTATGAAGAGCTTTTTGAATATGATCACAGATCACCTCACACTCCTTTGAGGAAGATGGCTTTAAGTTCAATGGAATGAAAGACTATTGTGTTCATTACAGCCTTAAAGACGCTTCTTTGATCTTTTATGCAGTTTTAAATATATTGATTCAGACTATTTCAGATGCTTTGAGCAAGACAAAAAAGTAAAATCCATCTAATTCAGTAAAAAATGTACGAACACAGAGAACGCTGCAGGTGTCAAGGGTGAGAGGTGGAAGGTCCTGTCATGTGGGTGGCTCTGATAAAGCCCTGTTAGTACTTAATGAGAGCTGAACAGACACATTGATCACTGCTTGTAATTTGCAGGGAGCTAATCATGGGATATTCCCTTTCAAAAGCAAGATTACAACGCAGAGCCCTAAATCGGACAATAGGGATTTTCATGTAATGTCTCTACTATTGAGTAAGCACACAAAAAGAGGGTGGATCAGCTCTGTAGGGGCGAGGAATTAGCAGAGGGGCACAGGGCACTGAAAGACTCTGGCTGGGAGCCAGGCAGGCAGTACCACCCCAGGACAATGGGGAGATAGGAGGAGAAAACCACATGTCATTGGGCTCAGTTACAACACATGCTATTTTAGACAGAGCGAACCAATAAATCATAATAATTAATCTGGAAGATACCCCATAAAGTATGGAGTCCATCCCTGAGCTTTAGGCATCTGTCATTTTCACACAACTGAACAATGTCATCTGTGAAACAGGAGCTTCTGAATGGCAAATCAAACACTGCTTTATAAAAGTTTCATTTTGAATTCCAACATCTGTTGCTTCAAATGTGACAATGACCACTTCTTCAGTGAAAGTCATTTTGGCGCTGGGGGAAAATCCCCAGTGCTGGACTTAGTGTAAGTCTGAAGCATGTGGAAATCTCATAACTTGACAAGTCAACGCTCACTTTGGAGGTTTTTATTGACACAGATGAGTTTTACAGAGCCATAATGGTTCCACACTAAAGGACTTACACACTCCTACACGCTTGGCTATTGCATACACAACCCTAAACTCTCACACTGGTGGTCCATGTACAGTAAAGTACATTACTCTTATTGTATGTGACCAAATAAGGTTAGGGCTGGTCAAGACCATGGACTTTAATGTATCCATGAAACATGTGTGAGCTCACAGTTCCACTGCCCTGCACCTCACATTTGAACACTTCCTAAAACTGGGCCAAGGTTTTTTTTTTTATTCACAGCTGCAAAGGCTGAGTTTAAATGTGAGGTGTCTTGTTAAAATCTTAATTGGAAAATAAAGCTTATTATTTTGACCCTGAACCTTTGTTAAAACAGCCCTTTCACTTTTGAATCAATGGAAAACGCTACAGAAATAATCTTATAGAAGATGAATTATTATTTGTGCAAAGTCGTCCTCCTGAATTCTCTCAGCGACATCCAGATCATCCGTCAGACATAAGACGTGTGGTTTTTTGTTTTGCTACAACATCCTCTGGGTTGGATGCTTGCGATATGTCTGAGACGGATTTAGAATTATAGTTTTGCACACGGACCACCAAAGTCGTCTGCCATAAACTTAGATTAATTAAAGGAGGATCTATATGTGCCGCTACATGCTCGTTTGTGTGTTTTGAACCACATATTTCCACACATGTCAAAAAGCCCCGCTGAACGTCACGGGGAATGAAAGCATCACGCTAGAAAGCATTAGCAGAGTGCCTCCACTTTGAACACACTCATAAAGACCAGAATCCTGTCGGTGGCGTTTATGGGTTAATGCTTCTGTAAATCTGTGACGTTTGAAAAGTTTCACTTAAGTGCACTTACTTTGCTACATTATTGCAGAAGGGTCTGACATCTGCTTGACTGTCTCTAAAGAAGCGTGGCACAAGAAGAAGCTCAGTGACAGGTCAAATCTGTGGGAAGGCGACCTCGCTTACTCAACATGAACTTAACAACATATTGGCTTCGACCAGTGTTGACCAGTGCAGCAAAGAAATGATCAGATATCGCTATTTGCTGGGTGAAAAAAATACAGGGACTAAAGGTGTAAATTAGCACTGCTTCTACAACCTGGTACAAAGCATCTTTCCTTTTAGCTAATGTTTATTGTACACTGTCCCTGTAAAAATAAAAATCATACCATGTTATTTGTCCCAACAACAACAAAAATATTATTAAAGTAACATGTTGTGAACAAGTCAGACTACAAAAAGCATTTCTAAATAAATGCGTAAATTTCTCCATTGTGAGATGAATAAAGTTTATCTTATCTTATCTGTACAGGTATTTATCTATGTATTGTCTCTCGCTTTGCCTGCCCTGCTGATCTGTACCTCATGTCCAACTTGTGAGGCATAGATGCTCAAATAAAGACCAACGAACAACGAATAACAAGCACAGAGTCACTGTGAGCCCCAAGAGTCACTTTTTTGACACTTTGGACTGAAAGCTTGCAGAGCCTCCTCAGTCCTCGTTCTAAAGCCTGAGTCCTGGATCTATGGTCTTGCCAATGCAGAAGGATAGGAATGATCCGGGACCTTTTTGTATTGGATAACTGATATTTTATTGCTTTTATTCATTTTTGTTTTGTTTTTACTTTATACGTCATAATTGTTTAACTTATTCTATTTTTGATACATACTGTATAAAGCTGGCAAAAGCTGGCAAACCCGTATATTTAAATGTGTTACTTCTATCTATGTGCAGAACTTTGGAAACTTGCTTTATATAATGTGCTATATACTGTAAGTGGATTGGATTGGATTGGGACGTTAAAAGGACATTTATGAACATTTATGGACCTTGGACCATGGCCCCCTATGGAGCAATGGCTCATACTGTATGCGTTTGTTATTATTACATTTCCTGAGTTCAAACTGTTTGATTCTCTGAACTGTTGTTAATGAATCGAAAACTTTGTAAAGTCCTCCGAGACAACTGCTGTTGTATTAGGGCTAAACAATAAATAGTTGAATTGAATAAAGCTGATTGGTAGAGTGAGGGTGAAAAAGCTGTAATCAAAGCCAAAATACAAACATGTGAAAACTGCTATACCAGGAACTATTTACAATGACGAATTACAAAGTTCAATCTTTTATGGTTTGAAAATCAGACACCCCAGCTGTGAGCAACCAAAAACAAGTTGGGTTTAATACCAGCAGGATTGGCAGACTGTCCGTCAGAAAGTTAAAGCAATGCACCTTTAACAGCTCAGGTTTTGAAAGGCAAATGTATAAAAAGCCTGCCATCAACACATATAATCTCTTGGCGGAGCCCACTGAAAGCTGGGTCCCAGGGGTTAATTCTCCTATCACTCCACGTTTGAATCAACTCCTGACTCACATTGAGATGAAAGACGCACAGTCCAGGCACCGAGCGCTGGACTCCGGGGCCGGGCTGACCACAGCGGATTATAGCATGTTCGGCAGCTCGGACCTCCATTGGGACAGGGAAACTGAAAAGAAAAACAATAATTAGAGATAATTGCTTGTGTCCAAACATGAGCGTTAAAGCCCTCCTCCCTCCCATCTCCTTTCGTAGTTTGTGAGGTGGAATGAAAAGGACACCCCCCTGTTTTGACAGCTGGGCAGGCGAACATAATTTGTGACAGCTGAACTGAAACGTCTTTATCCGCGAGGAGAGAGGGAGAGGCTGCATCCGAATACATACGGCTATCTCCTTCCTGTCTCCTTGCTTCTACTTCTCATGGATATTGGTGGCATTTACTTTGACCTATAAGTGGTATTAAACCTTTAGGCGAGTTTTTTTAAAATATAAATTATGTGAAACAGACAAGAGGTGTAAACATGATAAAAATTAGAGGATTAGTAAAATATTTAAGATAAATAAATGTAAGAATAATAGGTTAACGTTTGTAGGAAGCCTGTAGGAGTTTATTTATTTCAATAATTTGAATTCACAAATTGGTCAGGAGGACAGGCCGCAAATGTTTTACCTCAGTATTGGATTAAGTTTGGTTATAAAATTACAAAATATTTTTCGTTTTTTCATTATAGTAGTTTCAAAAATCAAATCAGAAATTTAGATAATTCAATTGGTGACGAAAGGGTTAACAGGGTCTTTAATCTCAATTGACCCAATCCGAAGTGACCCTGTCAATGCGTGGAAGAAGGAATGACAAGGGAAGACGAGGAAGGACATGAAAAGGAGGTGTTTCTCAATAAATTCAGATGCAGCCAGGTTGGAAGCTGCACCGAGATGAAGATCAGACAAAGAGAGAGCGAGAGAGAGAGAGAGAGAGAGAGAGAGAGGAAGATAGTGGAAGGAAAAAGTAGAAAAGTGATTGTCATATAACGGGTGGGATCCCAAGAACGATGGAGTTTGAAGGAAAATAAATTAGTCACGCGCCATAAAGTTTGAAAAAAGACACCACTAAGATCGCACACAGTAACATCCAAAGCAAGTGAGTGGGAAAAGCAGAGAGCTACATAGGAGCCTGGCTGAACATGGTGTCATGCCAGCTTTGACACATTGGGTTAATTTGCTGCTCCCTGGAGGTGACCTATGATCTCAGGGGGAGAGGAGGTCGAACTGAGCCCTGAGTGAGACACAAAATCATGTCAGTCTGAGGAGCCGGGTCAAGGGCCACCACTCACATTCTCAGTATATAGGCCAAAACAAGGACCATATGTGGACGGAAACACAGTCGAAACAAAAATAAGTTCTGATTTTCCGTTCTCGCCTTTTGAGCTCGTCCTGCTCTCTCCCACAACATCGACCCACCACAGATTTGGTTCGTCGTCCTAATTCAATAACGCTGTAAATACTGCCCTAACAGCGAAAATGACATAATGTTGGCGTCGTGCCCTTTAAATTGTCAGTGACAGAAGTTTTCCCAAAGGTGAAATATTATTTTAAACGCTGGATTTTTTCCCCCTTCAAAATAACCGCCTCCCAATTTCTCTAACGTTTACTTTACGGCTTGCCCCTAATTTGTGCTGGTGTGAAATACTCACTGTTGTGTACTGACAGGCAGAAATGGAAACCTTATTTCACACGCAGGAATCGCACGAGCATCGACTTCACACAGAAGTTTCCTGGAGACAAAAAAAAGAGACTCTATTCAATGCAATTCAAATCCATGTATTTTTTTTTGAATAGCCCTAAATCACAACAGTAGTTATCTTGGAGGACTTTACAAAGCTGCCGATTTGCCAACACAAATGAGAGAATCAAACAGAGACGTGAAACGATATACAAACACATAGAGCCATTGGTCCATATTAGAAACAGGGTGACCAATATCCAATGTTAATAGATGTCACATAAATGTTCTTAAATGTCCTGGATCATCACCACTGTCCTTCGACCCTCCTGCATCTGCAAACCTCGGGGTTCATTTCTTGCCGATGCAGGAGGTTGTAAGGACAGTGATGATGATCCACAGCATTCAACAATCAATGACATTCATGGTTATGAACTTTATCAACATTTATAGACATTGGTCATCCGCCCCTTATGTGTTTATTTTTTTTTTATTATTGCATTTCTTGTGTTTGAACTATTTGGTTCTCTGATCTGTGTTGGGGAATCGACAGCTTTGTAAAGTCCTCCGAGATGACTTCTGATGTGATTTAGGGCTATTCAAAAATAAGTTGAATGTACAAAAAAAGGAACAAAAAACAAAGAACTACTGTAATTGCCAGATTATAAGGCTCTTCTTCTTTTCAAGTTGCTTTAACCCTGCGGCCTTTATAGACATGCAGCTAATGTATGTATCTCTATTGTGCAGAGTATCTCCTGGGGGGCTCTAATATCAGCTGTTGTTAATGTTTGTGAATAGCGCAGAGAGACACCACAAGGGACAAGATATACATGATTCTTGGGCAGTTTATGGACTTATTATTTTTTACTCAGACAAGTTTTAGTAGCTATAGGACGCAGGATTATTGTAATATTATATTGGTAAATGAGTCGCGAGATCAAAGCTAACAGCTAAGTAAGCATGCTAACGTAAGCTAATGTAAGCAGACGTTAGCTAACGTAAGCTTATGTGCACTTCCTCAAAATTCATTGTGTACTTTTACCTTTATCTTTGTCCATCACATGCGTTAACGCACCTCAGTTGTAGTTTAAACACTGGTTTGGTTTTGTTTTTCCCTACAAGCTGGACAAAATGTACTTTCTTTTTATATTTAGCTAATGCTGTATATACAGGTGCGCTTAGCTAACTAGTCTAACATGTGCTGTAATGCAAAGGAATGTGTTCAAATCAATATTGTCTGCCACTAATCTATCTTAATTATATTTATTCATGTCATTACATTGTTTTTGTAATATTTTTGTCCAAGTTATTATATATAATTTAGTTTTAATATATTTTTCTTCACTAGAATACAGGATTTATAGTTTCTTTATTATTTTATTTATTTATTTTTGTTCCATTTTTTCATGGTAATGCAACAAAATACCACAATAATCCAGCAAATACAACGGTAATACATTCTATGAAAAAAGAACAGGAGTAGGATGAAGAAGAAAAATCGTGTAATAAACTATAAGAAATATAAAGAAATTTACAATCTTACTTTATCTTCTGTGTAAAGCTATACATTAGACAAATATACATGGGCAGCATGGTGGTGCAGTGCTGAGGTCTTATAGGTTTGATTCCACCTCCAGACTGAGGTGGAATGCATGTTCTCCTCGCCAGGGACGTGCAGTCAGGGGAGGCAGGGGAGGCAGGGGAGGCAGAGCCTCACCTGCCATTATTGGAAACTAATAATTATTTTAGTTTAAATATATAATTTATATCCACTGTCCTATGCTTTTAATGTATATTCGGCACGGTTCCCATCAGTTTTGATCATTTCTGAAGTCAAAATCGCCGAAATCCCGTTATTCCTATTCAAAGAGACGAGGTGAGGCAGCGCTCCTGCGTGCCTCACCCCAGACCGCTCCCTCACAGTGTGTGTGTGTGTGTCTGAGTGCACTCAGCTCGTGCAGTTGATATATCACCGTTTGTTTCAAATATCCTGCTTTAAAAACATTTTTTAAACTCCTCTTAGTGTTTAGTAGTGTATTGCACGTATGTGTGTACAATTTATATTTAGTTTAAGTCTTTTGATCGTAGATGAACACACAAGGAAAAAGCTTGGCGTGAGGCAGGCGGTATCTGTGCCTCACCGCTAGGGGTGATAGTGAGCATAAAGTTCATACCAGAGTTGCTAACAAACAATCAGCCCAAAATGCTATTTCTTTTGCTGGAAAATGGATGATTTGAATGAAGATTTTTTTTCTCAATTGGACTTTCAAACAAAGAAAGAATTAATATAGACTGGGAGACCACCACTGGACTTACGAGGTTAGTCCGGCTGCGGGGGAGGAGTTTGTTAATCTGTGTTTTATGTTGAACATTGACAGATACCGGCAAAGTAGTGCTTTTCCGAAAAACACTGATTCAAACACTGCTCAAGAGTTCTGCAACTTGTTTAAATTATTGTTTATGTTCCTCGCGTCTCTCTCTCCTCGCGTCTCTCTCTCCTCGCGTCTCCGTCTCTCTGCTCCTCTCTGTCTCTCTCTGCTCCTCTCTGTCTCTCTCTGCTCCTCTCTCCTCGCGTCTCCGTCTCTCTCTGCTCCTCGCGTCTCCGTCTCTCTGCTCCTCTCTGTCTCTCTCTGCTCCTCTCTGTCTCTCTGCTCCTCTCTCCTCGCGTCTCCGTCTCTCTGCTCCTCTCTGTCTCTCTCTGCTCCTCTCTCCTCGCGTCTCTCTCTGCTCCTCGCGTCTCCGTCTCTCTGCTCCTCTCTGTCTCTCTCTGTCTCTCTCTGCTCCTCTCTCCTCGCGTCTCTCTCTCCTCGCGTCTCCGTCTCTCTCTGCTCCTCGCGTCTCCGTCTCTCTGCTCCTCTCTGTCTCTCTCTGCTCCTCTCTCCTCGCGTCTCTCTCTCCTCGCGTCTCTCGCACCTGCGCTTCTTAAAGATGTTGTTTGATGCGGAGCAGAGTCAGCAGCTAGATTTGTTGTGAGATTATTAAAAGAAGCTGGTTCTCTTATCTTTACAGTATATAAAGTTTGTGGATGTCATTGCATTGGTGATTAAATGCTATTTTATTTGAATAATGATTGTAAATCTGACTTTTAAAGTCAGTGCCTCCCCAATCACAAACCTCACCGCACGTCCCTGCTCCTCGCATCTGTGCAGGTTTCCTCCAGGTGCTCCGGTTTCCTCTTCCACTAACAACAATGGAAAAAGCTCAAGGCTAAAGGCTACAACAACTAAATAAAAGTATGTGATAAAATGCAGCAGGTTAGTCATTACGCATTGAGTCTAATGCAAGACACATGGGAATGGAGCTACCTGTGCACTTTATCCCTGTTTTATACTGTTATGATCTAGATTCTGGAGCTAGTAAACAATGAAAGAAACTCTGTGTAGCTGGATGGGTAATATTTCACAAAATTCCAAGGAAATAGAAATAGTAACAATTATATTTTTTTAAACCTGGAAGAGGGAGATGCAATAAACCAACTCACAGTGAGGTCACATGTCATTTTATAAATACATTCAATAATAATAAGGTTTAACTAGGACCAAACAGCTGATTGAGATGCGGCCCAGGCCTCGGTGGTGAAGTTTCCAACAGTCACAGTATGGAGAACAGGGAATTATAGATATTTCAGTGCAAAACTAAGGTATAATTCTCATACGAACTTTCGCATGTATACTTTTCTACTCTCTCAAGATTGCATTACAAGTCAGGTCTGCGCAGATGCAAGCCCACACGCTCACACTGTCATAGCACGTTTTTCTAATTCATCCACTGCAACACGTTTCCACAACAATCTTCTTTTTCAGTGTATTTTGTCTCTTACGGACGTCTGTTTCCTTGTGTGATTTCACTGCTTGTGCAAAGTCTTAGCACACGCTGGAAAACTCGAGTGAAAAATGGCAAACGACAAAAGCTGCAACAACAGGAAGATAATTCGCGTCTGATTAGTTTCATGTGTTCTTCTCAAACACTGAAGCCGTTTCCCTGCGCCTCCAGCACTTTTCCTCCAAACAACATGGATCCATTTGTCCCCGACTCCAGGCCCCTGCGCACAGATGCCCAGGACGCAATCACAGCGCAGCGGAGAAGGCAGTGCGCACCCGGAGAAACCACCTACTTTGATGTCATTTCATTTATTTATTTCAAGCTTATACACAGGAATCACTTTAATTTACAGTATTTACATTTTATGCATGCTCCCAAAACATACACACATTCATACATGTGTTGTTAGGGATTCTTTTTCACTGGAATGAAAAAGGAAAAGCCCAGAATGGAGTGGGAAGAAGTCAAATGTATAAGCTCCTGCACCCCTTATACCTGCATGTATTATTGTACGTATTGTGTGTATTGTAGTCGCATTGCTTTTATTTAATTACTTCAAAACAAAACAAAACTAAAACACTTATTTATGTTCTAAAAAATAACCAAAAACAACCTCATTGGTAAATCGTGTAGCAATAGAGTTAATTGAAAGACCTCTGCATTTATGTTTATCCATATGCTATTCATATTATATTTTTCAATATTTTATACCCTTTTCTGCACACTTTCTGCACACTTTCATGCAAAAACATGAACATTTTTTATCAAAGGGCGGGGGGGGGGGATTTCATCACATATATTCTCAATTATATTCCTTTTAATAATAGCAGTGGGCTATCAGTGAGCAGGTGATCAACCATCAGCAATACTCTTGTAACAGACTGAACTGCGCATGTCTGCCTCGTGTGAATGCATGTTCGAGAGCCTCACTCGCTTGCGCCCTTTTTCTGAGATTTTCTGGTCACTCCTAATAAACGGAGAGCACCTTTCGTCTGAGAGAAAACTCCACTTAGAAAAAAAGAAAAGCACTTTTGACATGAGTAGGGTTTAAACGAATGCAAGTATATTGTAATTATTATGAAACATTTACAATTTCATAGAAATTGAGTGAAGGCTATAGCAAACATTAAGTAAGTATTATGAAGACATATCAAGTTCATTTTATCCACATTAATCAACCGATTTCAATCTAATGTATTTTGGCAAGTTAATTTATTAGCATTATTGTTAGGCCATCTGTCACACATGTAGGAAACAGGAGCAAGGCCAAAAATGCAATAATTATAAGAACTCACACATATCCGTTGGAGCTAGACGTGGATAATCTTTTCCACCACCACTTGTTGCATCAGTGTCTGATGATCAAACTGTTTTATTGTATATTATGCGAACACTGCAATCATTATCGATAAATAAACAAATCAATTAACTTCGGAATCAAAACATTGCACCACGCGTTTTTGGGGAAAGCACGTTTTATACTTTCCTCTCTTGCAAAAGAAAGGAAATAAATTACTGATAATGTCGTCTCGGAGTTGGAATAGTTATAATGTAACCCACCTTTCGGAGCCCGGCGCAGGGGCCACCCGCGTTTTACAATGTTGTAAAAATAATGAAAATCATATTGAGCACACGCTGCACTCAGAGCAGTCCGTGTTTTTTCGTATTGTGTGTGTTATTTTTTTAATTATAACCTGCAGTCTGTTATAACATTTGCAAATTTTAATGTATATACTGTAGTGTGCAATGAAATTAATGTAGTAGTTAGTGTTAATGTTTGTATTTACTATTGAGGCAGTCCCTGTGTCCTCGCTGGTCTGCCCCCGTGTGGTTCCTCTTTTCTCATATAGTAAAAAATAACCTTCTATTTATAAAACAAGACGGGAACACCCATAGCCTGCAGCATTCAGCCTCCACCACAAATGCTATGCTTTGTTATTAATCTGAAGAGTATATCTAAAGGACCGTACCCTTCTTGTTGTGTAGTTGAGAATGATTTGGCCTCTATAGGTCCATCAATCTCTGCAAAACCTCCAATTAGATTAATCTCTGTAATATATCTGCTTCTAATGAGGGTTGGTAACAGAGGGCTGAGCTCAGTGGGATGTATGACTTCATCCATAATTGTTGTGCTAAGTGTATGATAACAGCATGAGGAAACAGTGAGGCTGCTTAGATGCCACAAAAAGGTAATATAAAAGGGATTTGGATTAGATTTTCAAAGCAGCAGAGATCC